CGATAGGTGATCCTACTCCTACGACCCCAACGAATCTGCCTCCTGCCGCTGATATTGGCATGACTACACCGATCATAGGAGCGACCGATATTGAGTCAGAGTCTACCGGAGTTGCTTTGGATGTGAATTTTGGTAGACAATTTCTGCAGTTAATACAGGGAGCAGTCAGAGCTACTGAGGTTCCTATTTCACAGACGTTGATTGCCAATGGAGTTAGAACTTTTGGGGGACAGATTGGTGGAGCTCCTACTGAAGCTGAGGATTGGCTCCAGGATACAGAGAGACGCATGGATCAGTTGGGTTTGGACTCAACTAAGAGATATCTGGGTGTTGTAGCAATATTAGATGGTAATGCCTATACTTGGTGGGAGTCAGTGACCAGTAGTGTTCCTACCGATTGTTTGACCTGGAATTTCTTTAAGGATCGCTTTCGGAGTCGTTTTCTGGGAGAGTACTACTTAGCTCAGAGACGACAACAGTTTCAAGACTTGGTTCAGTGAGACATGACTGTTTCTGAGTATGAGATCGAGTTCTTGAAGTTGCTGAAGTATGGATTCAGTATTGTACTTACTGAGAGAGATCGATGTCGTAAATTTGCCCTTGGACTCAGATACGAGCTGCGTAGGCAAGAGTTAACCCATCAGGATGAAATATTTGATGTGCTGGTGGTTGAGCCAAAGATGCTGAAGAGGTGGAGGTTTTAGCTTCTGGTAGAGAACGTGTTGACCAGGAACGATCTAAGAAATTTTCAGGCCCGATGGAGTCATCAGCACAGTCCGGGAAGAGGAATTGTACTTCAGCCCCTCAGAGAAGCAATACATGTTTCAGGCCTACAATATCCTCACCGTTAGTTGGCAGTCGAGGCGGTTCCTCATCGTATTATAATGGGCCCCTTTGTGAGTATTGTGGTAAACAGCACTCAGGACAGTGTCGTAAGAAGATGGGTCTTTGCTATCAGTGTGGATCTAGTGGTCATTATCGGAGGGATTGTCCTCAGCTAGCTTCGTTTGAGCAGACCACTACCCAAACTCCTGTGCATTCGCAGACTACAGTACAGACCCCAATTAGAGATCGTAGTTAAGGAAAGACTCGAGGATCAGCGTCCAGGACAGACAGTAGATCCTGACCTCAGCAAAATAGAGGGCCAACAGCTTCTGAGGCTAGACAGCCAGCTTTGGTTTATGCCACTAGACGTCGTGATGACAGAGATGAGCCTGAGGTTATTGCAGGTACATTTACTATTTATTCTACTCCATAATTTGTATTATTGGACAATGGCTCAACTCACTCCTATGTTTCGAGCTCAATATCTCGAAACTTTCAGATTCCGATCGAGAGCACTGAAAATACTGTTACATTTACAAGTCCAGTAGGGCAAGCGGTATTAGTGAATAAAGTATTTCGGCGTTGTCCTCTCGAGGTTCAGGGAGAAATTTATCTCGCTGATCTTATGGAGCTTCCTTTAGAGGAGTTCGATCTAATTCTTGGAATGGATTGGTTGAATAAACACAAGGTAAAGCTGGATTGCGAATACAAGCGGGCTACTCTGAAGACTTCAGATGGTCGGACTGTTGTGTTAATTGGTGAACGGCGTGGCTATCTCTCCAATATAGTTTCAGCGATGGAAATTGATCGTATGATCCGGAAGGGATATGATACCTTCATTGCTTGTATTTTGAACACCAAAGGTGCATTGTCCATGATCAAGGAGATTCGTACAGTTAGCGAGTTTCCTGATGTTTTTCCGGAGGAGTTGCATGGGTTACCTCCTGATAGAGATGTAGAGTTCGAGATTGAGACTTATCCGGGATCTTCACCTATTTCTATGTCACCTATTTCTATGGCACCTTATCGTATGGCTCCAAAGGAACTTAAGGAGTTGAAAGTCCAATTGCAAGAATTATTCGATCGAGGATTTATCCGACATAGTACTTCACCATAGGGAGCTCCAGTTCTGTTCGTGAAAAAGAAGGATGGGTCGCTAAGATTATGTATTGACTATCGGAAATTGAACAAGATGACGGTCAAGAATAAATACCCACCACCCAGGATTGATGACTTATTTGATCAATTGCGAGGAGCTACTGTATTCTCTAAGATTGATCTTCGTTCGGGGTATTATCAATTGAAAGTTAAAGGATTTGATGTTGCAAAAATGGCCATTCGCACTATATATGGTCATTATGAATTTTTAGTGATGCCTTTTGGTTTGACGAACGCTCCTGCAGCTTTCATGGATTTGATGAATCGGGTGTTCCGACCATATTTGGATCAATTTGTGGTGGTATTCATTGACGATATTCTGATCTATTCTCGTACTGAGGCAGAGCATGATGAGCATTTGAAGATCATTCTGCGGACCTTGAGAGAGCATCGTCTATATGCCAAACTAAGCAAGTGTGAGTTTTGGCTTCAAGAAGTGTCGTTTCTGGGGCATATTATTTCTGCGCGAGGTGTTCAGGTCGATCCCAGCAAGATAGAGGCTATTATAAATTGGAAACGACCTAAGAACGTATCTGAGATCCGCAGTTTCTTGGGCTTGGCTGGTTATTATCGACGTTTTGTTGAGGGCTTCTCGATCATTACTTCTCCTTTGACAAAGTTGTTAAGGAAGAATGTGCCGTTTGACTGGGGTGAGGCACAATAGGAGAGCTTTGAGAAATTAAAGGCGGTTTTGACTCAAGCACCGGTGTTGATTCAACCAGAGTCCGGGAAGGATTTTACAGTGTATAGTGATGCTTCACATTCAGGACTTGGTTGTTTTTTAATGCAAGAAGTAAGGTGGTGGCTTATGCATCCCGTCAGCTGCGACCGCATGAGTGTAACTATCATACTCACGATTTAGAGTTGGCAGCAATAATTTTTGACTTGAAGATTTAGAGTTGGCAACAGTGATTTTATTAAATGCATTTAAATAGTAATTGAGTGACATGATTGACAAAATTTCAAAAATGATGGTCAAAATAAAAATGGGCAATAGTTAGGTGATCATCGGTATACTTTACCTTTTATTTTAAATAATTTACTTTTAAATTTTTAACTAATTTATAATTATACATTGAGTCCTTTAGAATTTTACTAGTGGTGCTCATCGCCGCTCGTTATAAAAAATAAGATGTTATAGTATATATTAAAAAAACTTTGTTAAATACTATTTTGTAATAATAAAATTAACTAAATAAAAATTATTAATGTGTATTTATTTCACTAAAAGCAACTTTTGAAAATATTTTAAAAGGAAATTTATTAACAGGAAATATTTTACAACCATCCAAACATTATAAAATATTCAGTTTTTAAAAATATTATTTTTATAAATTCTTTTCTAAAAGTTATTTTTTTAATGAAACAAAAGAGGTAATTACATCATATGTCCCTAATCTATGATACTCATTTTAAATTAGTCCCAAAACTTCTAAACATTTCAATTTCATCTCTAAACTATGACTATCATTCTAAATTAGTCCTCAAACTTTTAACATTTCATTTTCGTCCCCAAACTATGACCTTCATTCTAAATTGATCCTCAGACTTTTTGGACATTTCAATTTAATTCTAAGTTATATACATATACTAATCACATCTCTTGTTAATAAAATTGTTAGACTAAGTTATATTATCATATGCTTAAAATAATAAAATTTAGGTTAAACTATGGTTGAAATAGATTATATATTTGGATGAATTTGGGGATAAAATTGGAAGATGAAAAAGTTTAGGGATCAGTTTAGAATGGCATTCATAGTTTGGAGATGAAATTAAAATATTTAAAAATTTAAAGACTAATTTAAATTGGACAGGTGATGTAAATTAACTCGAAACAAAATCATATTAGAAGCAAAGTACTAATTATCAGCGATGACCTCTTCCTTAAACCCTTTTTTGTTCAAAGCAACAACCTCCTCCTTTGTCTCCATTAGTTGCTAACTGTACGAAAATCCACCCATAAAACGCACGTGTAAAATTAGGGGTACTTTCGTCATTCCCTTGTATCTTTTGGTTTCACGTGGGAAGCTTTCAGGAGCTTCGCTCACTGTCTCTCCATCTATTTTGATTTTGAACCACTTATATCAGAGTTTCAGGAGAAGAAAAAAGAAAATTGTTTTTAACTATAGAATCAAACAATGAACTGAAAAGCCGAAATTGTTTTCCAACGACATGACGCTAGATATTTATTTTCCTTTTTAGTTCTTTTTTCTTGATTCATTTTTTTCTCACTGAATTTCCCATCAATGGCTCTCTGATCAGGTAGTTTTGTACTCCTCTATAGATTTTTTATTTTCCCCTACATTTTATCATTTTCGTTGATTTTCCTAATCTCTAATGTTTCATATAGATAGTAAGAAAAAGAAAACGAAGAATAATCAGAAAGACGATGATTTTTTTGTTCATCGCACAAGTTTATATAAAAAAAAGAAAAAGATGAACGGAAAATTGGAAATCTTACCTCGATTAGTTTTATATAATTACACTTTTTTTCCCTGTTCTTTCCTATGTTCCTTAATTAGATATTTAATAAAAATCTTGTTGTTTAATGTTATTTTTCTTCTCGAATCTCAATGTACATAATATTAAGATATTATCATTACCTTCTTTAAGGTTGAGTTCCTGCATTTTGTCAAAGGAGCATTGGTTGAGAGCTAGTTATCTATATTGGCGAGGAATCTTATCAATTATCAGGTCATGGAGATCTCACTCCGTTGGCAAGGTTCTGGAAGTTGATTTGCATGCATTGATACTAGTCAAATTGTCAGAATTAAATGAGGTTAGTTTAATATAATCCAATCTGAATTGGTGTATGTGTTTTTGATCTTCGTGAGTATGTGAAACAATCTTCAAAGAATGAAATCTGAGATTCATAATTTTCTGGGTTGTAATTGAACAAGTGATTGAATATGTATATGTTCTTATATTTGAAATGCATGATTCTAAATGTTGATGTTATAATTTTTAATGACATTGCACTGCAAGCTAGGGAACGGAGAGCATTAAGTTGTAGAATGGGCGAGGGCGAGGAGTTTATTGAGCTTAGATTCCGGTTGTATGACGGGAAAGATATAGCACACGGTACTTACAAGTCGACTATGACTGTTTCAACTCTTAAGCAAAAGATCGTTGCGGACTGGCCCCAAGGTTATATATTCTTTCTCTTTACTTTCTTCCTTGGCTGGATTAAAGATCTTAAGTGGTCATCAGTTTGTTATGAAAATGTGTATGGGGTAAGTCATTTATGAAGGTTCGTAATGGATGATCCTGCTCTGGTCATGTATTTTCAGGCAATACGGTCACACCAAAATCAATAAACGATTTGAAACTCATACATTCTGGTAAAGTTCTGGAAAACAACCAAACCCTGGCTGAATGCACCATAACAATGGGTGACCACCCCGATGATGTTGTCACCATGCACGTGCTAGTGCAGCCTTCTAAATCAAAACGCAGGACAGGTTCGTGGACTTCTCTTTCTTGGAAACATAACATTTCTTTATTTTCATCACTCTTTTGATGAAATGCAGTAAAGAGCAAAAAGGACATGCAGAAGCTGAACCGATGCGGGTGCATTATTCTTTGATCCACAAAAATGCTCCTTAGGATTCAACTCGATAGTGGAAAAAGATATAGCTCTTCACAGCTATACCTCTAGTTTTGTATCTGTTCTGATTTTGCTTTTGAAAATGGCGTTCATTTGTATTTTCGCTGCCTTTAACCATAGGATTACCTACAGGCACATTGTTTCTATATTTATATAACCAAACCTTAATTCTATATTTGCAACTAGAATATTCATTGTTCGCTGTAAAGACAAATTAGATACACCAACCCGAGTGGCTTCAAATTTAATAACATCCAAAAGCTAATTAAATTTATTCATGTACTAAAGCTACAAATAGATGCTAAACATTAATACCACCAACGGTTCCCCATCCACCTTCTTCATTCCCATCATCTACCTTGATTTTTTGTGAAGGTTGAGAATGACGAGTGCTGCCAGCCAAAAGAAAATCGATGATGCAACCAAAGACAAGATTATAGCAGCAGTCATTTGGTGACAGAATCCACCCAACATATTGCATACCCTCCTCCACTGCACACGCGAGTTCCCGTATTGGCCTAACACCCCAACAGCAATTGCTGCACCGTTAGCAGACAAGAGCAACCCCATTATGGTCATGTCTAGAACCACCAGAACGGTTTCGGTCATGTCTTTCGATGTCTGAACCGCCATTGATGCTACCAGAGATGCCGCTACGTATGAAAATGCTATCGCATTTGATACGGGGAAATACCTAACAAAAAGATATATAGGTGAGTATCTGCGTAAGCAGGACAAACATACATGATACATCGTCAATGGAACTGAAACTGAGAAAACTCACACAAAGGCTAACATGTAGTGCCACTTAGCAGTCACAAGGACATGCAAAGTGGGCAAGGTCTTTGTGATACTTATATGTATAGTCTTAGTCTCCTCGTCCACGCCCGTCAAAATTGCTGCTACCGACGTAAGGATTAACCCCATAACCCTTAACAATCCATCGAAGTATCTAATTCTCCATGAACTCTCTAGCACCTTCAAGTTGGTCTCAACTCCATCCGTGTTAATCCCTTTCTCCCTTGGTTTCAAAACAAATAAAACTTGAGGAGAAGGGTTATGGGGGGTATAGAAAGACTTGTTGAAAAGGGTTTAAAAAAGAGTGAATTATGGATAGGTTAAAAATGGTGGAGAGTACTGGGGTAGTTAATGGAGCGGAGGCTGGAATCAAGGAGGAAGTTGGGGGTGCATTGATGGCATGGTATTAAATTGCGGCCGCAACATAGTTTAACGGTCGTATCGTAACGGTTTTGAAGGTAACCGCAACACAATATTAATGCAACGCAACCGCCCGTGACAGCCGCAATACGTTAAAAAATCACGCCCGCGACAGCTATAACACGTTACGTAACGTCCACAGCATCCGCAACCGCGACAGCTATTTTATACTATGATTGATGGCAACTGGCTGGGAGCTTTAAAGGAAGATGTTTACGTAAAACCAGCAGAAAAAGCAAAGCTGGTACCCAAAGTTGGATATTGTTACTTAAATTGTGCCATGATAGAGGTGGTCGGCGTCTAGGATATCGATCCAGCATCAGGGATGGACCGATGGGGTGTTAAAGTGTGGTCGCATAATCTGGAATTTTCAAATTCTCTTATATTTTAGATTTTATCATTGTATTTTTTTTATTGATTATCTAATTTCGCATCCCCTAAAATTTTATAACTTCAAGCCTCCAAAATTTTTTAATATAATTTCTTAAGTTTATACTTCTAACATAAATTTTTACATCCGTTCCTTCCCAGCATATGTTGTCACCCTAAACATAACGATCGCATCGTTACGTTTATTATGATAATCGCCACATCATAGTCTCGTTCATAATTTAAAATCATAATTACTTTTAAAAGAACAAATCACATTGTAACTTTTGCAACCACGACGGTAATTTAATATCTTGCTGATCCTACGTGAATTGTGTATATTAGATGCCAAGCAATGCGATGCCGTTTCCAATGAGAGAAACACTGACTGGCTAAATTGCTTGGTGGAGAGCAACTAATGCAAAACCTACTTTGCCTGATGAGCAGATCATAAAAGAGATCATTACTAGGCATTTTAGTATCTGATTTTGGAAATTATTTAATGTGGTACTACAATCATTTAATACACCAGTATGATTTGCTTTTTTGTCTATGATTAAAATTAAAAAAATAAAAAAAGATTGTTGATATAGGTTAGCTGAAGCTCAGTTGAATGAATATTTAATAGTATTTTTATAAGTACTAATGTTTAAGTTTCGCCAATCAATTAACGTAATCGTTTGATTGAATTTAGAAAAATTAATGATCTTTTTATAATTTTTGAAAGCTTATTATTTGATATAATCATTTGAACATAGATTAGTGGTCTTTGATGTATTTTCCCCAAAACTAAAAACTTGATAATTTTATGGAAAAAGGAAGCAGAGGTCCCTATACTTTTAGAAAAATACCAATGTGACCCTCATATTATTTTTCTCTAAATGTGACCCTCCAACTCATAAAATAAATCTAATATGGCCATTTGGGCCATTTGACCAATGTTTTCCGTCGTAACTATTACAACATTGATGTGGTAGTTTACGGTGCTAACTTGACGGTCCATGTGCTAACATGATAGTCCATTCTAGCTAATGATGTGACAGATGATATGACAAATAAGTTAAATTAATTTGTTAGTTTTGTTCGATGATCAAATTAGATTTTTCTAAAGTTAAAGAGCTTATTGATTTTTTTTAAAGTAAAATTTATTTTAAACTTTAAGCATAAAACTATTCAAATATTAAAAAAATAAAGGTAAATTACACGTTTATTCAACTATCTCTTATATTTCACTTAACCTACTTTTAATTTTTTTAATTTTTTCACTAAACTTTTGATATTAATTTTTTTTATCATTTTACCGTTAAATTTTTAACCACGTTATGACGTGGATTAAATATATATTTTTAATTATTTAAAAACAAATAAAAATAATATAATTATAACCTACCCCGCGTTCTTTCTTCTTCCTCGTTCTTCATGACCAAACCCAGATTCCGGCCACCATATCGACGGTCATTCTAACTACCGTCCATTAGTGTCATCTTAGGTCAATGAAGGTTTAACCTGAAAACCCCCCAAATTTCATAGATCTAGCGTTGATATCAGAAAAACCTCAACGAAAATTCAAAAGATGGTCTGTATAAATCGTAAGAAAGAGACATGGAAACTGAAGTGGTTCTTGGAGGAGAGTCTATCCCAGTTTGTGGAATTGGTGAAGGCAAACCATCCTAGGATCAATTCATCTCCTTTGCATGTAAGATTCGAATCATAAGAGGTTTTAATTTTTCGGGTTTTGCATGTCTCTTGTTCCATATTCATTTTTTTTCTTTTGTGTTCTCTTTTTCCCGCTTTTAAAAGCATGGGTTTTTGTTTGCTTGTGTGTTTTCTTCATCCAGGGTTACTCATCTGCCCATTATTTCTATTTGCCCCTTTCTTATTTGTTTTATATAATCTAATATTTATTTTCAATATATATATATATATAATCTAATATTTGGCTGTCAAACGAGGACTGGAGGCTTGGGGTTGTGTTTATTCTCAAGGAGGATTTGAATATTTGGGTTGATCATTTGGTTTGCAATCAACGGCGAGGGTTATCAGCATGCCCAGTGGAAAGGGTTATTCATCGAGGATGCAAGTTAAGGAAAAGGATAAGAAGAAGATGAAGAAGAAGATGAACAACCCTCAAGCATTTGCAGAGGAAGCAATTGTAGGATTTAGTTTCAAACAATCAATGAGTAATTGAGAGGAGAAACAATGGTGACAAAAATCTTGGAGAGGGGAATGGAGGAACCAGATTGGGATTTGTTGAAAGAAAGAATGGGATGGGAAGGAGGCAGTGCTTTGAGATTTGGGGTTTGATAGAATTCAAGAATTTGTTTTTAATTTTAAATTATATGCTATAGGTTTTATTATTAAAATAAGTAATGTCATAACTCTGTTAATAAAAAAATGATAGATAGACAAAAAAAAATGTTTAATGTTTAAAGTTCAATGAAAAAATTAAAAGTACAGTAAGTTAAATAAGATAGAGTAAAATTAAATAAGTAAATGTGTAATTTATAAAAAAAGTAATGTAAAAAATGCTAAAAATAAAAATTAAATTAATAAAAATAAATTGAATATACATATTAAAATTATTATAAAAATAATTGTTTTTCAATATATATCATAGGTTATAAAATGAAAACTTATAAATTATTAAAAAATAAAATAATATTTTTAAAAAGATATATTATACATAATATATATGTGTAATATATAGACATAATATCAACACTTATAAAGGTATTATTATTGGGTTAATCAAAACTTACAAAATTTAAATTATTCAAGACTTATAAATTTTGAATTATTCGAAACTAACTATGTTTTCTAGTTATCTTTTATGTCAAAATTTATTATATAATTATCTTTTAAATTAGTTGATACTTACAAAAAGATAATTATATTAATAAAAAAAAGATAATTAGATTAATAAAAAAACAAAAAGATAATTAGAAAACACATGTCTATATGTTACATGTATATGTCATGTATATACATATTTAAAAATATTTTTAAATTTTTTTATAAGTAATTATTTTATAACCTAATATATGTATTATTTTTTATAATAGTTTTACTATTTTTAATATGGATATTTAATTTTTTTTAATAATTTAATTTTTAAATATTTGAATAATTTTATATTTAGTTTAAAATAAATTTTATTTTTTTAAAATGAAATAATCTATTAACTTAAAAAATCAATTTGACCATCGAATAATCAAAAAATCAATTTAGCTCATCTTTCATGTCATCCGTCAAATCATCAGTCACTGCGGATTGTCATGTCAGTATCTTAACAGTCAACGACGAAAAATATTAGTCAAAGGACCATATTGAGTTTGTTTTCTGAGTTTGAGGACTATATTGAGAGAAAAACAATATGAATGCCATATTGTTTTTTTTAAGTTCAAGATTCTCTAATGCCTTTTTGCCTAATTTTATTTGAACGGAAAAATATATAAATAAAAATTAGGGTAAATTATGCGTTTAATACCTAAACTATCAGTTTTGGTCTATTTTAGTACCTAAAGTTTCAATTTTTTTTAAATCATACCTAAAGTTTAGTTTTTGTTTTATTTTAGTAAACCGATTCAAAATTTAAAGTTAAGTTTTTAATTTTTTTTTTGAAAGTTTAGGCACTAAAAAAGACCCAAACTAATAGCTTAGGTACTAAACACGTTAATTTTTAATGTCAGGGTACTAAAAGTTAAGTTTTTAACGTCATGGTACTAAAATGAAATAAAAACTAAATTTTAAGTATAGATTTGAAAAATAATTAAAAAATTAAGTATTAAAACAGATTAAAACTGATAGTTTAAGTACTAAATACTTAGTTTAAAAAATTAAAAGCATATGACCAAAAAGAAAATAATAGTACCTTTTCTGGCCTCGAAGAACAGCGACCCATAAACTATTTGAGCTTCGACAGGGTAATTCTAAGAAATGGTAGTGTAATATAAGGCTAAAAATGGCGTAACCAAAAATATTTAAAGGAAATTAATGAAATAGGTTAAGCGCTACTAGAAATATTAAATTAAGCATTAATATATGAAGTTTCATGTAGTTTAGGAAACAAAAGAATGGATTAATCGGGTAAGTTATGTTCTTGGTTGGTATCAAAACTAACTTAGAAGAATGTTGATATTTTCGAATTGTATAACAGTTAAGAGCGAAATTGGTTATAGTATAGAGACCAACTTATAACATTAATGTGTAAAGGAAGAAGGCAACATGAGCTTAATTTTTGTAGTAAACCTAAAATATTATTGAATTATATAACATTAACATTTTTTTAATAATGTTGTGACACTAAGAAGGTAAAATTTTAAATAATATCATTAAATAATGTATAATTTTTCCGATCAATGGATACAGTTTTTTTAGTTAGAAAACGATTATATCGAAAGCTTTTCCCCGAGTATCGATACTTTCGAATTGTAAAAAGAAAGGAATTGAGAATTGTATTTAAGAGTATCAGACCTATGCACATATTTCGA